ACCAACACATATTAATTCCATCTTTTCTCCTCAATTTGAAAACCTAATTGCATCAACACATTAATTCCATATTTTCTCCTCAATTTGATAACCTATTTGCATCAACACATACAAATTCCATTTAACAAGATTACTAAATAAACTGAAAGTTAAAAGAGGGAAAGAAATACTGAATTGCTCTTCTATAAATCTAAAATGTGTCAATTACATGAAAATACAACATTATAAACAAGAAATAAATGTCCTACATACACCCAAAATAAAAGCAACGTTGACAGCCTCCATCCTCCCCCTTCATCATTGTCTTCAGCCACTTCCCCATCCTCCAAAATTATCCAGCACCCTTTCGACATCAATAGTAGCAGCAGCAACTTCTTCGTCGTCTTCTACAACACCACTTATATCATTATCTAGCCTTGGCCTTGACAACAAAGCATAAATAATATCAGTTTAATGCACCACAACCCAATTATCAACAGCCTGACGCCTAACAACACCAGCTGATCCAATTCAAGACAACCCAATACGAAATGCAATTCACATAAACTACAAAACTCTAAGTCCAACTTCCATACCTATTCATGACAACATCAATAATGACTTGGATTGGGTTATGGTCAATCAAAAAGGATCCATATGCCCATGGAAGCACTCAACAACCAAGCACTCCCGAAAGTTGCTCATTGTATCATCATTCAAGCTGTCCATTGGGGTGTTGGTCATGTCAAACTCAATAAATTTTAGTGCATATGCCTCGCAATTAGCAACACAATAGAAGGAAGACATTAGCATTAGAATCAGCTTATAAAACAATTGTATTATGTAAGTTTTATACAAAATTTGCCTTGCATCATTTGTTGGGATGGGAACGTGCTTGTGTAGCCACTTTTCTGTTAATAGTTCTTCACCCAAGTACTGAAACATCCTGCTATTTGCAATAGCCGTGGGAACAATGTACACAACGGTTGCATCTCCATGTCCAACTGCCTCTCTTGACAAATACTTGGGTTGCAATCAAGGATCTGTTAGCAAGGCCTCCTCCAGTAACCAAACAACGGTTATCCAATGCATATCTTTGATATTCACGATGCAGTATACTCTTTTCACGTTTACCCAACTGTTGTCATATTTGGGCATTTCCCCCCGTACATACTACATTATCCTCTCATCAAATCAAAAATCAACAAGGACAATGTTGAAGTCCTCAACGACCATTCTTTTCTGCTTGCCTCCTTTTGTTGCACCTCTACGATTGGCTTTTTTCATTAACGTGTCATATGTACTTGCTAGGCTTTAGCCAAAGGCCACATCGGTGATGGCAAATTCCAGATACAAAATATCACCATTAGTGCTTTGTCACAACCTCATATGTGACAATACCTCATCAATGTGCCGCATCAAATCAAAACAACATGATAAGTGTCTATTCAAACACCGTAGAACGATTTTTCCTTAGGTAGATTGTTTTGTTTTAATAGATCGCTTAAGCGACCTTCTTAAAAAAAAAAAAAAAAAGAACGCTTAGGCGATTCAGTATACAATACCTTATGGAAAACATAAGTAAAAATAAGGAAAAATACGGGAAAATAACTCACTGAGTTGTCAAGTCACCTGCCCATTGTCAACATCTTTTCAAACCACTCCCGAGGATAATCCCTAGTCTTGCACTTCACACAACCATCACTTCCTTTCTCATTGTAATATGCATAGAATAGTTTTTGCTTTTCCGCATCTATTGGCCTATATAAATCGACCTTTAACTCCTTCATTTTGACTTCCCCACTTCCTCCGCCTTCCTTCTCACCCTTCTCCATTTTGACTTCCCCACTTCCTCCGCCTTCCTGCTCACCCTCCTCCATTTTGACTTCCCCACTTCCTCCTCACCCTCCTCCATTTTTGCTTCTCCACTTTCATGGACTTCATCATTTTTTTTTCTTCGTTCTCCTCTTCTTTCCATACGTTATTGCTACGCAAGGAGATTTTATGTGCTTACTCTTTCGGCTCTCTCTTCTATGCTAAGGTTGCACTTCAACCACTTTCAATACCCCACTAACTTCCTCCTCCATCCTATCAACTTTCTCTGCCACCTTATCAACTTTCTCCGCCACCTTTTTCATCTAGTCTTCCATCTTCTCAAACCTCTCATAAATAGTAGTTGTAAAACTGTCAAAGAGACCGTTTATGAGGTCAACCACCCCATTCTCCTGACACCTTGGCAAATCGTTACTTGTTGTACCAGTTTGCCAATTGGGTGGAGGCGTATGAACCTCTACATCTTCCTTCTTCTCCTCCCCCCGATTGGAGCTTCATCCTCCTAGCCTCAAACACATGCTCAAGCAGTGGCCTTGCAGCTGTACTCAAATGTGTGTCCTTTTCTATGTCCCTCATTGGCGGTCTATCCCCTCATCTGTTACATCGTCCAATGCTGTGAACGATGTAACATACTATGCACCCAATTCACCCCTAGTAGGGGTGAGGAAGGGACAGACGACTCCCTCCAATAAGAAAAAAAATCAATCAAATTTAAGCCACATTTAAAAGTAAGTGCATATTCAAAAAATTAATCTTTTAATCTTACCCGAGCCACTTGAATTTCCATTTCTATTTTGTCATAGTCCTATTGGGCACACTTCTCGGTGTGCCATTGCAACATCCTAAGAAATTGTAGTGGCTCATCCGAGTCTTCTTTTGCCCCCTACCTTAGCCAGGATAGGGATGACCTCATACATCTAAGCCTACCTTGTAAAAAAAAAAAAGAGTCTATATCATAATTAAAACACATATAATACAAAAATATAACAAAAAACTATTAATATTTACCTGCATTGCCCATGGGAAGCCAAACAAATTGTAAGCACTTGTCTCTCCTTCTCGACATATGGGCGGTGCTTTATCGCTATGTCTTTTCCGCGCAAGGACTCAATGGGTAGCTGAAATGATGACCTTCCTCATGGATAAGCATTAAAGAACTCCTGGTTGCTTGCAAACCACACCCAATCCATATTAATGGCTTTTGTTGAGTCACAAGCCATTAGGATGGAATGCAAGAGCTATACTAGACATATCTTAAACTTCTCTGAAGAGGTATACCTATATTCTCTTAACCTCTCCTCTAAATCGTGTGCCGTAATAGACGACTGCCTCGCCAAAACCTTTCTAACCAAGTTTTCAACTACCCTACTCTTATTTATTCTCTCTTGCTCTTCTTCTTTTGGAAATGCCCCATATCTTAGGCCTGTCATCAAGGCAATTTCCATCATCCCAAAACGTAATGGCTTTCCATCCACCACAAACCACATTTCAATTTTTTTTTTTGCTTTTAACTGAGTGCAACAACATATAATGCACTATCTGCCCCTGAAACGCCTTATTCCAACTGTCTCCTATGTCCACAAAATGATCGAAACAACAATCTTTGAATGGGTCCATACCTCTCTTTTGTTCACTTAAAATATCCTTTATTCTCATAAACACTTGCCAACTCGACCTAACCGTCACCCTTACGAGAAAGTATGGTATCCTATCACTTACAACCTCCAACCATAGTCTTTATAATTTATGCTTCATAAACATTGCACAATCGATATAAACTAAATATCAACAAAAAAAAAAAAAAAAAAAACCAAAACAATCAATAGGTTGCCAATCTGGGGGATATAGGCATCGAGGGCATCGGGGAGTAAGTGTTTTTGGCTTCGAGAGGACTGGGGAAGCCAATGCAAGCCCTACAAAGGCTGTTGTGGCAGGTTCGATGGCTGAGGATGGCAGGAGTGGGTGGAATAAGGGGGGCTGCCCTACATATTGCAGGGTTGGACATGCACATCTGTGTGCGCTGTCGTGCGTGGCCAACCTCCCTATTTAGCCCCCCTATTCAGCCATCCCCAACCCTCTAACCTCCCACAAACAACCTCTCTACGACTTCCCTTGCTTCTCCCATCCTCTAGAGCCTAAACAAAGCCACTCCCCAATGCCCACCAACTACTCGACAAAATACCACAACCACCGTAACAATCAAAACCAACATATCCCCCAAATTTGCACAAACCAATAATTTTTTCATCAAATGGTAAAAAATGAACCTTTTCTTCATCGGCATCCTCCTCCTCACCTGAATTCTCGCTGACGTCTTCCTCTTCAGAACCATTTTTAGTTTTTCCTGTCTGTTCTTGTGCCACCGTCGTGTCCTTTACTGTTGGACCAGCTTCACTCATTAGATGATCCATCGAAGCGTCTTCTTCGACAACCTTTGAACAGTCGCCGCCGTCGGACTCTAGGATTTGGAGTGGGGTTGGGTTTTCCTCATTTTTGTTAATATTAGCCATGATTTTTGTGTAATTAATAGCAATACAAAGATTTAAGATCAAATATTAGCTGGAAATTGGGAACTTTAATCACCGAAAATCGTAGAGAGATGGGGTGTTTTCATCGGTTGTTTTCTGGGTGGCTTCCTTCGACTTAGCGATTTTGAATGTGAGGGTGGTCGTTTTTTAATTTTCAAAATTTAAACAAATTTCCATTAATTAACTATTACCCTTATATGTTTCAATCTTTTCACTCTAACCCTTTTTTTTTTGCATGTTTAGTTACACTTAAGTGTGCCACCTCAGATTTTTAAAGTTAAAAAACTACAAACTTTTTTCAGGGTCTTTTTTGAAATTCAAACTTGGGATGTTTGGCGAGTTAAATCTTCTCAATTAGTGACTAAAAAGTAAAAACACCGGGGATTTTCATACATGTCGGGGTGTAAATTATGAAACGCGAAACCTTTAAGGGAGGTGGAGGGCACTTAATAGTTGATAATACCTATTCTTCTAAAAATTCGTAATAGGTTATAAAAAATATAAAATAAATGTATTCAGATGCAGGGACTAATATTTTCGAACTATTGAGGGCTAAACTAAAGGAAAGAAACACACGAGCACAACATCGCGGGAAACGCCCGAAACGACACCGATTTCTCTTTTTAATTTTCTTTGATGATACAAAGGTTTCATTTCTTTCTCTGTTTATAGATTCTGTATATTTTTATGCATTAGGTTTATAACTCGAGCTTTCTACATGATTAAAACCCGTTTTAAGTAGAAGAAGCACTTTTTAGATAAGCCGTTATTCGAAGCACCTTTTACGCAAAGACAATGTTGCAATGGATGGGAGGATCGAGGCGAAAAGTGGCATCTGTGAGTATAAAAATCTCTGGAATTTTTGATTTGTGTGAATTTAATGGCTAATATTTATGAGATGTTCTTGATGTCTATTTTTTTCAGTCAAGAAAGTCTACACAGAAGAGGTAACGGCAAAACCTTCTATATTCCCTGATTTATTATTAGTTTTTTTTTTTTTTTTTTTCGTAAAGTGAGATTTTGTTGTTGGAAGCAATTAATAGTGTGTTTGTTGTTGTGAAAAATTGAAGGCAAAAGCAATATTTTGAACAAAGGAAACGACAACAACAGCAGACCGTTGGATTAGACATCTCTGTTGATCATAAACAACATAGATCCCTTGACGTTCTCAGTTTGCTCAACTTGTCAACATCTTCTCAACAACACTACTCTGTTTGTCCCAATGGTAAATATTTTAAAATCCTATTGTTTGGAATGCAAAAGAAAACCTTTTTTTTTTGTGAAATAATGTAAACATAAAGAACATGGTATTTGTTAATGCATTTGAATGGTTAAAATTCAATTTAATGTTTTTCATTTACAAGGTGCATCAATTGTGCAAGTTGTGTTGAGTTTTTAACAATTCATAGTGTGTTGATACAATTGCTTAAAAGTCGTGTCATCATTTACGCCAAAACGTGTTGCCATCGATCATGCCCCATCATTGACATATTCAGCTCTGAAAATTGTTTCTGATCTGCAATATCAGATTATAAATAAACAAATCGAGTTTTTATTTCATTTTGTTAAAGTTGCCAAACAACCATTAATTTCTGTACCTTTTGACTGAAGTAGTTGAGGAATTGAGAAAGAGGTAGGATGCTAATATATGACATCAGTCAATTATGTGGAACACCTACGTAATGTACGTTATTTATAGAGATTAACTGTTTCATCAAATGCCAAATGGTGAAAATTAAGCAGAATTTGTTTGGTAGTGATGTTGTAACTCGTATGGTTATTTCTGGTCTGACGGCATGGTGCATTTCTGCATTTGATGTTTTTGCCTGTTGTTCATGTGATATATAAATGTTTAACCAAATAAGGAAGGCAAGATTTGGAGGTCAATGCTTCATCGGAAATCTTTATTAACACAGCAACTGCTGAAGATTTTGTTGAAGTTAAGGAATCAGGTGTATAGTTTAACCTTCCTGTGTAACCCTGTCAACTAATAGGTTGAATGGATATTAATTTTTGATGAACGATGCAATTTTGCTGAACAGGAACTCAATTACGCTATCAGATGGAGACTGTATACCTGAAGAAGTGAGTGTTGAGTGGCTACACTAATGAATTCTTGCTTATTTTTGTCTCTTAATATTTTGATTATGTACATAATTCTTATTGCAAGGACACATGCTGTACTTACTAAGTTTTGATGTTTCTGTTCACAGTGCTTCGTGTTACACTCCTGATTATCATAGTAATGCTTCTACTGGTGACAACTGTAAAACAGACCTCTGGAACACAACTTCTCAGTATCGTAAGTATCAAAACATTCACGACATACAAGTTTTTATTTTCTTACACTTTAGGCTTCTCATTTTAGGGCTGGTGGCTCACTAAATTTTCCTGGACCTCTATTTTATTGCAGCTATTATTATCTTTGCTGGTGATTATAAGTGTTTTAAAATTATATCCTTTTGAACTTTTTATTTGTCAGAGACATCTGTTTTTGATTTGCTTGCTGAAGACGGACCAAGTGGCAATATGGAAGGAAGTCCCATACATGAAGCTCATGTTGCATTTTCAGTTGAAGGTATGACATTGTTGATACAGAAGTTGAAGGAAAGTTTCATATTTCAAATTTTAGTGGAGAATTTTTATTTTTAGGATTATTAATCAACTCATTTAGTGGGCAATTTATTTGTTATAAGAAACAAACTACTAGCCATTATACTGTTTGTTGAAGTTTGTGGTTTTCATTTATTTTCACATTAAGAGAATATATCTTTACAAGTAAAAGGGATACTGATATTTAAAATCAGAGAAGCTTCTAAATGGTCCAGAATAAGCAATGAGGAGCCGGATACTAGCAATGAGACTGACCTGTTTCTGAAACATTGTCACCTTTTGTAGATACAACTCTAATATCCTTATTTTTCTTTTATACCTAATGTTAGAGCCTAGATACTATTATTGGGTTATATCTGTTAACTAAAACTTTTGGGTTGAGTAGTTACTTGATATGGTATCTGAGTTAAATTGGCTAATTGTTCGTCTGTTTGAATATCTCCCATTGCATTGATAGAATTATAATAGGTTGCATTTGTCTTTGTTGATGGGATTCATATTTGAATTATGTGTCTTGCAAGCGACAGAGCATGTTAAAGCTTGAAGAATATTCTTAGGCATCTATTAGCTTAAGTTTATTGGTTAAGTGGTCGCCTAACTTATATTAAATTTGTAATTTTAGTATGCCTTACCCTCTTGAGCAACCAACAATTATAGTTTCGAGCAGTTATTTTCATTCATGTGGCTCTTCATTTCAGTTAATATTTCAAAATTCCAAATAATTACATTTTCTGAAGTAATGAAGCTTCTCTTTCTGTAAAATTGAGCTTTTTAGTGCTAGAACACGTAATCTCTTGAATGCCTTCCTTTGCTGATTAGGTTTGGGTAAAGTGGGGACACAAACTCCTGTCCATTCTCCACAACCTGAAAGGTAACTGGGATGCATTAATCATTTTCAGCAATGGATTTCTTCTATTTCTAACTACTTCTAAATTCAGATACTGACAATAATTCCAACAACGCTTTTCAGTAAACTACACCCCGGTCAAATGCATCTTTGAATTGGAGTATCAAATTCTTTTTATAATCTAATAATCATTATTATCTGCCATTTTATTGCCTGTATCAGACACATCCAATATTTTGTAATACTTACAGAGCTAATATCCCAAGTGCAAAATCTTATAGGAACTTTCGTAGGAGGCATGAACTGCTGGTTACTGGATATGATATGCTATAAAAAGTTAGAAGCCAACTGAGCAAATAGTTGCTCTACTTGATGACAAAAAATTGGCAAACATAATAACTCAAATTTTGAGCTATGGAAATTCTGCGTGAAAATATCTATTCTAACTCAACTGGTTTATAAGTATTTGTTATGGTGTGTAAGGCTGACACTTAGAATATTTTATCCCAGGATTCAGTCTTTTAGGAATTTTGCCTTTTTTTTGGTAGTACTTAAACTCGTTGTGAAGTAGAATTTAGTACTTACACCAATATTGTGCTTAAGTTCTTAGTACTGTTTTATTATAAAATGGTTGTCAGAGGCATGAAGCCCCATGGGTTTGGTTTTTTTGTACATATGTTATTGGGTACTTGCTGGAACTCTGATCTCCATTTCCATTTCCCCTTGAACCTTCTGTATTGGGCCTGTTTTCAACTTCACTATTATTACCTTATCTGAAATGTTTCCTTTGGACACATACCTAACTTTCTTCAACTATGTCTAATTATGAGCTATACTAAAAACTCAGTATCAAACTGAAGCCCTAGAAATTCAAAACATTATGCAGACACTATCTGAGTGAGTCTTCTCTGAGTACAGGATATTTCATTATAGATATTCATCACCACGGAAGGCTGCAAGGAGACATAACTCAAAGAACTTAGATTATGTGCTGGATGATCTTGAACTTGAAGTGGTGAGAATCTACTGAATGCATTCATCTTTAATTTATTATATCACTTGATTGGCCTGATTACAACCATACCATGTGTTGTGTCATAAGGTCCATGTTGGTGCTACAATAATTTCCTTTCCTTATGGATTGCTTTTCTTGATATTCATCATTTCAATACTAAGCCAAGTCTCCTTAGAAACAACTTAAGGTCCTAGGTCAAGCCCTAATCAGCTCACATCAGAAATAACCAAGTCCTAAGTAGGAAAATAAAATCTGAATAAAACAAGACTAAAATATCTAGAACTATAAACAATAAAAAATTTCCAACAAAATACAGAATTTTGCTTCTGATTCTACACCACCATCATCTCTAGCATCTGATTTTCACATAGACAATCTTCCAAGAATACAATATTCTTTTGCGTAATCCGAAGGTTGGGTTGAGTTGCTAGTTGATATCTCTTTTTGGACTTCCTTAGGTCTCTATCTTCTTTTGATTGAATTGAATATTTTCTAGTTCTTACAAGACTTTAAACTTGAGCTCCTTGAGGTACTTTTAATGGAGATGTGAACCTAATTTGTGTGATGTGGTAAGTGTAGGATGTGATGATGGAAGATTTAAGTGTGCCTCTTGGTGGAAGCAATTTGGAGTTTTCAACAGGGATAACAAATTCATGTAGCAATCAGAAGCAGAAATATTCAGTCTTCAGTGACTGTACACCGTTTGAAGTCCAAGTTAATAAAATGAAAAGATCTTTCAATGATTCCAGTATCTTCTGCGGCATTGGAAACAACAATGACGACCTATGGGATGGTAGGTTTCCAAATTATTCATAAACTTTCCTGTGTTCTGTCATTTATCTGCATTTGGTTATTGCAATTTGATTTATAGCATTTTACTAATAAAGAATTGAATAGTTAGGGAATTTTTCAGTTGATGGATATGATCTAGCTCTATCTGTATAACCTAAAATTTAGTACAAAATTAAGCTTGGGTGAATTTTCTACTTCAATGATCTTGACAATAGAGTTTTCATTTAAAACAGTATGAACCATATGTTGAACCTATGTACAACTGAATATCGAGGGCATTATGTAGGTCCTAGTTTTTTTTATTTTCATTTTGTTCTTTCTTCTCTCTCATACGATTCCACTTCTCTTATGCCCTTGCCTAATTATTTGTCATCATAACTGCACATTCTCTTTTCCCTTAATTAAAACTTTTGTCATCTTTTTTCCGTTTTTATTCTTCTCCAGATATCTTTCTATCTTTTCTCTTGTTGTTTGGTTTATATGTTCGCTTGACTTTTTTTTCATTATATTTTGATGGTAATAAAAATTTATGGCATTTAAGGTTCAACTTAAACAAACGGTTCCAAGTAAAATAATGAGTAACATGAATTGGTTTTTACTTATCTTGACATTAATAAAAAAGAGGCATTTTCAATTACTAATATTTAAAAAAAAAAAAAAAATCAACTGCAAACTTGGATTAAAAATAAAAATGCTAACTTTGGTTTCTTATACAGAGAAGGACGGTCCAAGGTATGAAAACTCAAAAAGGGGCTGAATTAAGTTTGTGATTGATATGAGGACTCTTCACACAAATATAAAACATAATGCATTTTGTTCTAAGTGATAATTTTTTGAAAATAAGAAATTGAAGCAGTTATGAGATTGAATTGTATTCTTTTTTAATAGGATTACAAGCTATCAGGTTTATAGAAAATAACTGAGTAATATCTTAAATTTATACACAATAAATGGAAATAGATGTACACTAAAAGGAAATAAACATATCTCTAAACTTATGCTTTCTAAGATTTAATATCCAAATCTCCTTTGATTTCTTCAAATTTTTTAACGCTCTCCCTTATGTTGGTACTAGGATATTGTTCCTTTTCTTGAACCATTTGAAAGCAATCAATAAGGATTAACCTGAAACCTCTTCCCAACTGAGATGTATAAAGAAGAAGAGTCTTACTATCGTATTAGGATATTGTTCCTTTTCTTGAACCATTGAAAAGCAATCAATAAGGATTGACCTAAAACCTCTTCCCAACTCAGATGTATAAAGAAGAAGAGTCTTACTTTCGTATTAAGAATGCCCTACATTTATAAATCTAATAATTAAAGAGAACAAGACAGGTCAAGCACAATGACTTTATGTTGCTTGACCGCTGCAGTGTATGCCCACGCTTGTAGGCGTCTACTATTTCTGTTGTTATAATCCTAGAGACAACTGACTTGATTTATGTGTATCTATTACTTTTGCAATCAGTCGGCTTGGTTTGGAGTAAGATAAAACTATTAGACTTGAGAGATGAGAATGAAAGTCTCACAAAATATATTCAAGCTTAAAGTTAGAAGTTAAAATGATATGAATAAAAGGCAAGTATTATCTCACATGTATTCATAGCACCTCAAAATATGCTAGCCAAATTTTTGGTGCTCTTGCAAATGTGTGTAATGTGTCTAAGAGGCATGTATTTATAATTCTGGTGAAAAACTATATGTTTGTAGGCTTTTTAAGCTTTGTACCTTTTATCTAGTCATGTATTCTAGAGTTTGGTCAACCATGAAACTATTAATTGAAAGAAAAAGGATTTAAACATAAACTGGTTGGCTGTGCCCTTACGGTGGTTGAATCATGTTGGGGCAGTCGACTGGGCACTTCATGCCTATCAACCAAAAACACCATTCAGTGTTACGGAAAGTGCCCCCTTTCTGATGTTTTCGGATGATAGCTTTTTTGCAATTTTCCTTGGGTTTTTGAGGGTGCTATTTCAAGCCCACACAGTCAATTTAAGTTCAAAAACCTAAACGAAAGTCCTTGTAACTTAGGATAATCTGTTGGGTGTAACTGTTTTGATCCTTCCCCCGGGTGAACCCCCCCGCCCCCCGCGCCGTGCCCTGCCCCCCCCCCGCCCCCCCCAAAAAAAAAAAAAAAAAGAATTGTTTTGATCCTACAGTCCATTTTTTGTCATTTGAGTCATGTCATCCAGTATGTTCAAACATAAAATAAGATTGGGAATCTAAAGACATAATATCAGACATGAATATATTTATCATTTAATGTTTGCTGCTTTTCTTTTGGGCTAGGAATAGGATATTAGAATTTCCTAATATCTTGTTTGCTATTTGTCAATGCTATGTCTAGTAACTCATGACATAACAATATGGGTCAACAAAATAGTAGATATATATTTCCCGTAAATAACAAACTCTTTGAATAAGAAGCTATCTAAAAGCCCTAAACCTTCTAAGAATAACAAAAATACTCCTCAACTGTTGTATATCCATAAATACTATTAGAATAAATGATAGTAATGTCTAACTAATAAAATTTATGTGTTAATTCATTGAAACATGATTAAAACTCATTTAATTATTCTAAACATATCCATACACTATTCATTGACATGACTAGTGTTAGATTAAATAATCAACCTTTTTATTGACTCAATGTATCATAGTCTGTTTAGATGATAGACTATAAATATCATCTTTATGATACATGTCCCATAATTCTTCCCTGGATACCAAAGGTATTGTGGTGCTTACAGATTCCTTACTCCTTGTAAGTAGCTAGAGAGAAAATGAATTCATTGCTCTTTTTGAATTAATTAGTGTGTATTCCCTTTTAATACTTATGTATGAGAGCAGACTTCTGAATAATGTGCTTTTCAAGACCTATCTAATACCCCATATGGTAATACATTGCATTCACTATGATGTGTGAGATTGTTATCCTACCATATAAAATAACAATATCATTTTCATATTTTAGGCAAGCTCTCTTATATAAATCTCATTTATACAATTAAATTGAGTTCACTGTTACTTGAGGAACATTATACTTTCCAACCATTCATCAATAATTACACTATCCTATCTATGGTGGTTTAGAAAAAAGAAAAAAAGTACACTACTATAGATATTTTGAGGGTTTTCACTTCATCATATTACAGGTAGATTTTTTTAATGTGCTTATCATAACCTAGAAGCAGTTTGGTTCTCGAGATGAAACTTAGGCTTTATAATTTATGTGACTTTTTGTAATATATATTTAAGGTGTCATTGTTCTCTAGGGCAAGTTTAATTTCTGGATGCTAATTTATTTTTACTTTTTCTGTCAACAGTTCAGTCTAGTGTCCTGGAGGAAGACTTTCTTTGTGAGAAGAAACATGATGTATCTGGAAAGATTGGGCACTATCAAACAGAAAGGATTGATTTTATGAAATATGGAAACAATGAAATGTCAAATTATGTTTTTGAGAAACCTCACTCACAGAAGAATAGGTAGTCCATGAGAAAACTTTTTTTTTTGTTTTTTGGTTCCCTATTTTTACTAATTTTACTATATAACTTTTTGATAAACCTGTTCTAACCGTGCAGGGATTCTGTGGAAGCAGCAGGCACATACAATATCCTAGGTTCTTCCATTATCGTTATATTGATCTTGAAACATCAATGAAACAGAGTTTTCTGTAGTTGCTGATTGATCTCTTCTGTTAAATTCAAAATATACTTTTCTCTTATGTTAAACTTGCATCACTTTTCTATTGGTTTCTATGGACCAGAAGTTTGGCTTACCCTTTATCTTTCACCAAGATCAATATTGTGCTTTATGTTTAGATAATCACTATTCTTGTTAACTTTTACACTTTTAATTTACTTGTTTATAAGACCTGATCACTCAAGTCTTTCCATTGATTGCCTTTTGTTTATCTTTAAATCAGATTCACCTTTTCAGAAGCATCAAATATCAGGAAATAATGATGATTTCATAACATCCAAGAGGACGGGGTATAGTGGTTCTGCATCTCCCAGTGGGACAATTCATGGGCAACTTTAGGATACACTAAATGTGTTCTATCTTTCATGTGATGGCAGGTATCCTGCAGTAGGAAGGAATTTTGATTTTAAGAAGGTAATTACTCAACCAGGTTGGTCTTACTCTGAAGATGCAAAGGATAATTTGAGTTTGCTCAGGTAGATGTTAATAACTACTGTTTTTATAATTATTTCTTTTCACTTTGACTCACACGTTTAACGTTTGTAAACTTGATGGCAGTGAAGAGTCATGCTCGTCCAGTGCAGGTTGAATATTGATATCGATAGTCAATATGATGACCCGTTGTTAATCTGCATAGTCTATGTCATTAAACCTTTAAGTAAAGAGATCCTTCTTTTTCCCCATTTATGCCAGTAAGGGGTGAGGCAACTGATAGATCACCACCAAATTCTACGGCAAGAGAATGCAGGAGAAGGCATAAGAATGCTGTTGACAGCCATGTAGATATATATGGTTCGAGGAATATTTATGCCAAACAATCACAAGCCAAAAACATATTTGATGTTCAAAAAGAAAGTTCCATACGAGGATCAGGAAAATGCACAAGGATGCCTATGCCTACCACATCAAAGTTGAAATATTTCCATCACTCTAATTCTTGTTTCCATGATAAATCTGGTCAACTGGGAAGTTGGTTGTTTGAGCATGATACAATCTCTGGTGTCACTACTAGTCAAACATCAGACACAAAAGTTCCAGCCTCAAGATCCAAACCAGAGATGGGAGATCCATTCGGTGGATTTCGTGTTCATGAATCATATATTGATGCAAAGTCATCTTTGGGGGAATCCAGATGTGGCGAATCAGTTAAATGTTCGCCTTTTGAAAGTTCTATTTCTGAGAAGTTTACATGTCGCAAGCCATTTAGTTACATGAACCATCAGGATTCCTCTAATTGCTCAAAGGTTGAACTTCGACCAACCAAACCAAATTTATCGTTAGATTCTCTGTCAAGAGACATGCCACAGGCGTCATTTCCTGTTGCTAGTTCTGATGGAGAGATACTGTTTCTTAACTTGTTAGCCCAGGAAAATGTTAGCAAATATGAGGAAACTAAATCGAAACCTCGGCCAGCCAACCATGACAAGTTTGAGTCTGGTAAACAAAGTTGCAGTTGGAACAATTACATTTTATCGGAAAACAAAACGGCAATGGATGCTTTAAATTCCAAGGACAAGATTCTTGAATGTAGTGAAGCAGAAGATGGAACTTTGGAACTAAAGGAATCTCCAGAAACAGCTAACTCTCTTGAGCACGCTGAGGAGACATCATCATCTGTGAAGATCCCTGACAAAGTTGAAGACAGTATAAATCATGAGTATGTTATACTAGCCAAGAAACTGTCATGCCCTTAATATTCTTCTTTTCTAACTGTAATTTATACTACATAGATACTCATAGGTTTACCTTGTTGATATTACATAGATACAAAAACAGTATGGAAATTCATCTTCCTTGTCAAAATGAGAATAAAGGTACCCAATATATATTTTTTTCTCTGTTTAATTTCATTCGTGTCATGGGTTGATATAATCCTCAATTCTCTCAAAGTGTTATTTTTTTTTCTTTAACTTATTTAATTTGTTTTACACAGATCTAGATGGTTCAGGACCTGAAGAAAGCAAGAGGCAAGGAATTGGTGCAAATTCATCCAGCTCGGTGGTGATGCTGGAAAGCTATGTTCTCCAGATTCTTTGTATGCAGGAGGTAGAGAAGGATGTATCTGGGCAGGGCAGTCTGAAGTAGGTGTAATTCCTTTCCCAAGTCTTTTGAAATTAATGAACTCAAAGACAAATGCAATTGGTTTAGGAAAACTCAATTTGTAATATATCAAGTAGAGCATGTAGTACCTTAAAGTTTGAGCAAATGTATTAGGAAATAGTATATAGTAAAGTGTACTTTTTAATGCTGTCTATCACACACACAAGGATCTTGTATGATAATAAGCTGACAGGGAAAGTACCAACAGAAAGATAAAGGAAACGATCATTTCTCAAACACTGATAAAATATAATCTTCAGCGATACTTTTACTGAATGTTTATAATTTTATTATTCCCGTGCAATTATATGCTTCTTTTTACTAGGATAGCTGAGCCCTTTCACAGATGATACCAATTGATCAATATCTGTCAGCGTTAGGGGCTTCTTGTAAAATCCATTTGCTCCTTCCTTTTTACACCTGTTTGAGGAAAAACAAAAGCTATGGAAATTTTGTAATTTCGGCAAAATAGTAAAAGAAATCTTGAGTGTCCAAGCAATTACAGCTCAATTCGCCGGGGGTTATTCTCAGATGATAATATAACCACTGGTATGTTCTTCATGGTGGGCGATTCCTGTTTGCAGCATCAAGAATAAAAATTAGATTGAGATCTTTGGTTTAAGGGGTCACGGTTGTATCAAATTGTGGTAAAAACTTTTAAATTGTTCCCTTCTCCAAAACCTCAATATATTATGAATTGGATTACATACAAAGGCTTCTTCACAATTAACAAATTAAGCAAAACAGAATAATTAATAACATGAGTCGAGTATTTCACATATTAAGTGAGAGCATACTCCATAAACATTCCTTTTAGCACAGTATTAGATTACGCAACAATCATTTATTTATATTGTGAAAATCAATATTGTTGTTACAAAACAAAATACCCAAATCCTTTAATTTATTTATTTATTTATTTTTTTTTTATAAAGTGTTTGGTTTTAAATATTATCCATTATAGCTGTTAGTTATTTAATAGAGAGCGATCACAATTATAAGCTTTAAAGTATTGTTATCTTTTGTTACTTATCGAGTGTAAGGACTAAAAATATATTATTTAGAAGAAATGTCCTTCATTAATAGTGAACACAACCAATTTTTAGTTCTCTGTGTCATTTACCTACCTTCATTTTNGTCATTTCCTGTTGCTAGTTCTGATGGAGAGATACTGTTTCTTAACTTGTTAGCCCAGGAAAATGTTAGCAAATATGAGGAAACTAAATCGAAACCTCGGCCAGCCAACCATGACAAGTTTGAGTCTGGTAAACAAAGTTGCAGTTGGAACAATTACATTTTATCGGAAAACAAAACGGCAATGGATGCTTTAAATTCCAAGGACAAGATTCTTGAATGTAGTGAAGCAGAAGATGGAACTTTGGAACTAAAGGAATCTCCAGAAACAGCTAACTCTCTTGAGCACGCTGAGGAGACATCATCATCTGTGAAGATCCCTGACAAAGTTGAAGACAGTATAAATCATGAGTATGTTATACTAGCCAAGAAACTGTCATGCCCTTAATATTCTTCTTTTCTAACTGTAATTTATACTACATAGATACTCATAGGTTTACCTTGTTGATATTACATAGATACAAAAACAGTATGGAAATTCATCTTCCTTGTCAAAATGAGAATAAAGGTACCCAATATATATTTTTTTCTCTGTTTAATTTCATTCGTGTCATGGGTTGATATAATCCTCAATTCTCTCAAAGTGTTATTTTTTTTTCTTTAACTTATTTAATTTGTTTTACACAGATCTAGATGGTTCAGGACCTGAAGAAAGCAAGAGGCAAGGAATTTGTGCAAATTCATCCAGCTCGGTGGTGATGCTGGAAAGCTATGTTCTCCAGCTTCTTTGTATGCAGGAGGTAGAGAAGGATGTATCTGGGCAGGACAGTCTGAAGTAGGTGTAATTCCTTTCCCAAGTCTTTTGAAATTAATGAACTCAAAGACAAATGCAATTGGTTTAGGAAAACTCAATTTGTAATATATCAAGTAGAGCATGTAGTACCTTAAAGTTTGAGCAAATGTATTAGGAAATAGTACATAGCAAAGTGTACTTTTTAATGCTGTCTATCACACACACAAGGATCTTGTATGATAATAAGCTGACAGGGAAAGTACCAACAGAAAGATAAAGGAAACGATCATTTCTCAAACACTGATAAAATATAATCTTCAGCGATACTTTTACTGAATGTTTATAATTTTATTATTCCCGTGCAATTATATGCTTCTTTTTACTAGGATAGCTGAGCCCTTTCACAGATGATACCAATTGATCAATATCTGTCAGCGTTAGGGGCTTCTTGTAAAATCCATTTGCTCCTTCCTTTTTACACCTGTTTGAGGAAAAACAAAAGCTATGGAAATTTTGTAATTTCGGCAAAATAGTAAAAGAAATCTTGAGTGTCCAAGCAATTACAGCTCAATTCGCCGGGGGTTATTCTCAGATGATAATATAACCACTGGTATGTTCTTCATGGTGGGCGATTCCTGTTTGCAGCATCAAGAATAAAAATTAGATTGAGATCTTTGGTTTAAGGGGTCACGGTTGTATCAAATTGTGGTAAAAACTTTTAAATTGTTCCCTTCTCCAAAACCTCAATATATTATGAATTGGATTACATACAAAGGCTTCTTCACAATTAACAAATTAAGCAAAACAGAATAATTAATAACATGAGTCGAGTATTTCACATATTAAGTGAGAGCATACTCCATAAACATTCCTTTTAGCACAGTATTAGATTACGCAACAATCATTTATTTATATTGTGAAAATCAATATTGTTGTTACAAAACAAAATACCCAAATCCTTTAATTTATTTATTTATTTATTTTTTTTTTATAAAGTGTTTGGTTTTAAATATTATCCATTATAGCTGTTAGTTATTTAATAGAGAGCGATCACAATTATAAGCTTTAAAGTATTGTTATCTTTTGTTACTTATCGAGTGTAAGGACTAAAAATATATTATTTAGAAGAAATGTCCTTCATTAATAGTGAACACAACCAATTTTTAGTTCTCTGTGTCATTTACCTACCTTCATTTTTTTAAGTAGCTCATATCCTGTCATTCCTGGCATACTATAATCTGTGATGACCAAATTGACCTCCAAGTCCTGCAAGGCAAGAAGATCTATGAGCTTTTCATGGGAAAAAAAAAAAAAAAAATCAATATTTTGTGTGAATTGAAGTGGGTTTGATTCAATTATTGGAGGTCCTAACTAAAGGCCACTCACGCTATTGCAGGTGCAGGAGTCTTGTCCGTGTGCAAGGCCCAAGAACTCAAGCGCTTTTTCCCCGTTCTCTGCAGTAGTCACTACAATAACACAAAATTCATTATTATTTTCAAAAACTATTACCAAAATCAACAATAAATGGAGATCTACAATATTTTTAATAATTAATAGAAATAAATTATAAAATAGCAATCACCTTCACGACTAATAGTAATAATAATAACAATAAAGGAAATTAATAACCCAAAATCCTTTATATAGTTAATATAAACAATCAACCATATTAATGTGAAGAATAGACTAGGAGATGAGATACACCATACCTTCCAATAGATCCAAAATTTAGTCTTATGCTCAATGTTTTAACAATCTTTAAGTTACATATTAGAATGAAAAATAACAAATTTCCCACCAGCACAATGAACCAAAGAGAAATATGTTGAACTTTCTTTGAGTTGGATTTATGTCAGAAAATATATTTTACCCAAAACGTAGAAAACATATACATAGTTTTCAATGACAAAGAATAAAGAGTTATTACAATGAGTAATGAAAAAAATATAATAAAAGAGTAAGAGACGTAACCTCTACATGCAGAATTGGTGAGCAGTAACTGTTGGATGATATTTCTGTCAACACTACTATCATCAACAGCTAAAACGTGAGGTAATTTTTCAGTTGAAGAAGAAGCCATCTCCAAAGCAAAAGCACAATTAAAACTTACAGAAATAAAGCAAGTGAACAAAGAAACGGAAATGGTAGCGTGTACATAGACGACAAAAAGAGAGCCAAAAGAAACGTTTCTCTGACAAACACACAACAGTATATCTACGAACCTATGCCAAGGCTTACTAGTGATAAGTGGGGGGCCTGTTACCTTTGCTCTGCGTATGCCAGTGCCTTTCATCTTTTATACAGCAAATAAATGAATTGTGTTCGAGCAGATTCATTAAAAATACAACGGATAAATGCCTGCATCATTTTTTTTAAATAAATGATTAAATGCACCAAAGATTTTTTTTTTTAATTTTATTTTTTTTAAAAAGGTGATAGTTTATCTCTTATATACATTCTTTGATACTTTAAAAAGAGTAAGAAATTGAAATAAAATAATGGACCTGATATTTTGTTGTCTTTGAACCTTTGGTTGATGTTAAACCCAATTACCAGGAATGAATTCGATAACAAAAGTATAAGCTCAAACTATAAAAAGAGCAATATCCAATGTTATAGTGAAAGCAAACTCAATGAGGTAAAGCCTGAGAACAAAATAGAGAGAGAGAGAGAGAGAGAGAGAGAGAGAGAGAGGGTAAACAATGAAAGTCGAAGCCCACACTGTCCAAGGACTTAATTGAAGCAAGATTTAAAAATGAGAAAAAAAATCAAAAACCCACCTACGATTTCAGAACGTCAAAGTTTGGGTGTAATTTTAACGATTTTAATCAACTTATCCTCTGTCGTTCAAAATACCTTTAAATTGGTTACGGCGTTAAACGATTCTTTAAATATTCATGTGTGGATTAGATATAGGAGTAAACATCTTTTCCCACCCAAATAATGACCCAATGACATTTTTCCACCCACGAACTTTTAAAATGACACTTTGTCACCCAGACATTATGTTTCGTTAATAATTTTCGTTAAATACAATGATATTTATTGTTAAGACGAAAATACCCCCACCAAAGATAAACCCCTAATTGCAGGCCACTACAAATCAAAGTTTCGCAGCCCAAATTCCGACCGATTCTGGCACCAGAAATCGACCCGTCACCACTTGATGAGAATCCAAGCCGATCATGTTCTTTAAACATGCAAGAGAGTTCATTGAAGATTCAAGGATCCCAAGATGGACAACATTCGGTCCAATCACTCAAGGAAGCTCACAAACTTGTCCAAGAGGTGTTAAGGACCCAAGACATGGCACAAGCCTTTTTTGCAGCCGAAGCCGTGGAGATCAAGTGGGAAGAAGCTTCATTGGTCCAAGCTCAAGTTGTGGATGCTATTTGGTTCAAATGTTGAAGGAAATTCAAGAAAATTGTGATTAGGGACATAAATCCTTAATTTAAGGAAAGGTTGTCCATGACATTAAATGGGTATGGCTTGCACTTTTGATATTGTATGGTAGGGAATTATCCCTTAATATTTTTGTGTAATATTTTGTTATAATATTCATGTAATATTTGCTAGGGTAATTCTCTTGTTTTGTAAATCCTATTTAAAGGCCACTCTATCATAATATGAACTAGATATTGAATATTGCATGAATAGTATTTTGCCTTGGAGAATTGTTTTCTCTTGGGTTCCTTTATCCAAGTTCAGCCAAACTTGGTGGTGGATTGATCCTTGGATTGATCCTTCAAGCTGGTGGACTTCCTTTCGGCTTGATTGATCCTTGATCATCTATCTTGTAAGTTAATCTCACTTGGTTACCATTCATCTCACTTTTCGGGTTGGTTTGTTTTGTTGTGTTCCAAGTTTGTGTTATGCATATCAAAGTGGATTGAGTTTGTGTTGATTGAGGCTTGATAAAAGGAGTTGTTCTATAGTGTTATAATGGTTATGTGTGCTTGTAAAGTGTTAGCCGAATTGTGTTAGGGTGTTGCAAGGGAAGTTTGGCTTAGGTTGAGTTGAAATTGGTTGAAGTAGGGTGATATATGAATTGAGGTTGCATGAATTCATATCAAATTGGTATCAGAGCCATGGTTGTGGATTGAATTTGTGATGATTGGAGTTGTGATTGATAAAAAAAAAAAAAATTGTAGGGAAGTGTTGAGTGTGTAGTTCGGCCGACCCATCCATTGCCAATTCTTGTGCAAAATTTTTTCTTTTTCATTGAACACTATTCCAAGTACGAACCCTAACCACCAACTTGACACCTCATCCAAACCTAACCAATTCCATCCAAATTCAACTAAAACCAATCCCATTTCAACCAAAAAGCCCTCAACACTAACCACCTACATAAACACTATTCATTAACCTAATTACATATTACTATTCACAGATTACTATTTCCCAAAACCAAATTACACAAATTTCATCCTCTCACCCTTCACACCTCAAATAACATTATTCCACGATTCCAAAGTGACACTGTTCATTCAAAGTTACTGTTCACAGTAGCTAAAACTCACCAAATTTTCATGGCAAACAAGACTTAGGGCCGCCCCCAGGGGTAGGCAGGTAAGGCACCTGCCTAGGGCCCCAAAGAAAAAAGCCCCAAAAGGGGCCCAAAATTATTTTAAGATTTTTTTAAATAGATTTATAGAAATACCAGTAGGCCTAAAAAAGTTTATAATTTTTTTATCCAAAGTGGTCTAAAGGGCCCCAAAAAAGCCAAAAAGGCCCAAATTCATTATAATTTTTTACATAAATTTACAAAAAAAACCATGTTTCATATTTTCCATTTACACCCCTAAATTAACTAAACTAGTTATTTAAATGTCTAAAATTTCAAAACACCCATTCAATCCCTAAAATGATGAAAACTTTGCATCTCCACCCCTTTACACCGCCATAGTGTCGCTGTCGACGTTAAAGTGATGATTCCGGTAAAATTATTCACCAAAATCAACTGGATTCATCACTTAATCATTTTCGAAATGTTTTCCCCAGTCTTGACAACCCCCAATTTGGCCGATTTTTGCTAATTTTCGCAACCCATTTTCATTCTTCACCGCGTGCGACAGCCATTTTTGGCACATATCCATTGTCGTTGACCTTCCCCGACACCACCATCTTCATCCCCTCAGCCCCCTACCCAAAACCCCTCACTTACCTGACCTCGGTAGCCCACCGTCCACCTCTCGCCCTCACAAGAAAGATTAGGTAATTTGGCTATATTATCAATTGAAAAAGATTTGGTTTCTAAACTTGAATATATAAATTTAATTAGTGATTTTGCATCTCAAAAGGTAAGAAAAATAAATTCGAAATAATTTTTTTAATATATGCTTATTATTAAAAGGGCCCTAAAGTAACTCTTTTCTAGGGTCACAAATGTTCTTGAGACGGCCTTAACAAAACCACTTCCTCCCTAACTTCATCCCTACCACCATGGGAGTGTGCCAACCTAAAAATCCAAGAGGAACTTGATGATGTAAAAAAGAACATGTCCAGCACGATAGAATTGATGGTTAACATGTCTAAGGACATTGCTAATCTATCCCAATCCAAATCCACCCTTGAAGAAACCCCACAACCGTCCCAATGAGAACGACCACACTACCGCCAAAGAACCATCATTAGGACACCACTATATATGGAAAACTTAAGAGGTAGTAGTGCTTTCTCTAGTGAATTCGAGGCACCTAGGAAGAGAAGAATTGATGATAACAGGGGCATCAAAATAGATTTGCCCGAATTTGAAGGTTGTCTAGACCCTAATGCCTTCCTTGATTGGTTGAGTGATATTGAGAGAGTATTTGAGTTCAAGGGGTATTCGGATGAGAAGAAATGTAAGGTAGCTATTCTAAAGTTCAAGGGATATGCTTCCTTATGGTGGGAAAACACTTGAAAGAAAAGAGAAAGAGAGGGGAAGACTAGTGTAAGCTCATGGGATAAATTGAAGAGGATGTTGAAAAAGAGATTCTTGCCCGATAATTACAAGCAAGATCTCTACTTGAGTTTGTACAATCTTAAGCAAGGGGATAGGAAAGTAGAGGAGTATATATGGGAGTTTGAGGTCCTTATGATGAGAAGTGATATTCCGGAGGAAAAGGAGTAAACCATCACTAGGTTCTTGGGAGGTTTACAAAGAGAAATAGCTCACAAGGTGGAATTGCAACCTTATCATTCCTTGGGAGATGTGTGCAAGTTAGCCAACAAGGTTGAGAAGCAACTCCAAAGTTTGAAACTTCCAGCCCCAAAACCATATTTCAAGGGCAGCAACTCATTCAAAGGATCCCCATCCTATTCCAAACCCTATGTCAACTCTAACAAAGATAAGGGCAAGGATAGAGTGAATGAAGCACCTAAGGAGAAGCCATGGTTTGTGACTCAAGGAGGCACCTGAGGGGATTTGAAAGACAAGAAATGTTTTAAATGTCATGGCTATGGACACTTCCAAGCCAATTGTCCCAATAAGAGAATAATGTCAATCAAAGAGATCCAAAAGATTGAAGAAGCCATCCAAGAAGAAGAGAGTGAGGAGGAAGAATCCGAGAGTGGTGAAGATTGTTGAAGAAGCTGCTGTTGGTGATGCATTGATTTTGAAGAGGGTTTTGCATGCACAAGTTGACTCTACCGAAGAACAAAGGGGAAACTTGTTCCAAACCTGTTGCACCATCAAAGGGAAGGTATGTTCGATTATTGTTGATAGTGGAAGTTGTACTAATGTAGCCTCCACCACCCTTGTTGAAAAATTGAAGCTTCCCACCCAAAACTATAGCCACCCATATAAATTTCAATGGTTGAGCAATGAAAGCACCATTAGTGTTACCAAGCAATTTGTAGTTCCCTTTTCCATAGGCAAGAGATATGTGGATGAAGTGTCGTATGATGTAATACCAATGGATGCTTGTAATTTGTTGCTAGGGAGGCCTTGACAATATGATAGGGAGGTTGTCCATGATGGAAGGAAGAACACCTACACCTTTAGGTTCAACAAGAAAACCATCACCTTAAATCCTTTACCACCCCATCAAACACTTCCCACACCTACACCACTCAAAACCAAAACCTTACAAAAGAACCTATTCCTTAATGGCAACCAAATAGAGAAGGCCATCACCAAACACAAACCCATTCTAGCTTTTCTTATTGTTGAGAGAAAAGAAAGTGATGAGAGTGCACCCCATCCCCTAGTCTAACCGTTACTACAAGAGTTTGAGGATGTTTTTCCTAATCAGTTACCACCCGGGCTGCCACCTTTGAGGGGAATAGAACATCACATTGATTTGCTAC